CAAGCTTTCGAGCTTCCGCCGTTCGTGCCTCGACTCGTTAATTTCCACGGCAGGCATAACCCTCCCCCTCTTTTCGAAGGCGAAAGAGAATACGCGGCGATGCGAAAAAGGGGGGGGAGGGGAGGGGAGGGGGAAGGAGCGAAGAATCGTCCCCTCACGGAAAACGGCGCGAGCACGAATGATAATTAACGGTAAATTACTTTCCTGGACAGGAAAGGAAGGGAAGGGAAGGGAAGGGAGAGGGGGGAAGGAAGGGGTATATTAGGCAATGGGTCGTTGTTGATCCGTGCCGGCGTCGCTTCTGGTGGGTGGGTCCGGTTATAATAATAAACCGGAGACTTTAATTAAAAAGTAAAGTGGGAACTGGTTGGGAGAAGGGTGTATAATTCCTCTCGATCCGAGAGCCTCGATCTTTTGAGGATTTTGTGGCGCGACGATGATTTGGAAAATTTGGAAGATTATTCTCGTCTCTTCGAACGGTAAAGGATGATGATCATTTTTCTCCTTGTATATAATTAATCGATGTGGCGAAAGGATACTGTTTTAAGAAATACATTCTTGCGGTAAACAAAAAATATTTGATACCGTGCGAAACGGTGTATAATTTTATTCGATTATCCTTGGAAAAATTTATTCGTTATAGTTTATCTCGTGAACGATTATTCATTCGATTCGAAAGGATTATCCGTATACGGTGGATCGAAACGAAGGAAAAGTCGGAAAATTTTCGAGATTATTCCGTTTCGATCGGATAGAAATCGAGCTTTTTTTAGACAATAATTTGCCTCGTTGATTCGGTGCATCGAAGGGGAAGGGGTGAGAAAAAAAAAAAAAAGAAAAAGAAAAATACGAAAGGATACGAGAGGAAATCGAGTATATAGGGCGGAACTCGATAAACCTGGCCGACGGATCGCCTCGAACGACGATTTAACGACGTCTCTCGGTTCGTGCACGCGTGTGTCTACATATTTTCCCTAACGCTCCTCCCCCTTTCTTCTTTTTATTACTCGAATCCGCGTTTATCGGCGCGTATACCGCTTCGAGAGTGTATTATTGCGCCGCCTCTTCCGATAGGAACGATCCATACCCATGCCCGCCGACAATATTGACTAATTCACCCGTTTCGAGCCGTGTCCTTAAATTTTACGAGATCGCGCGCCCGCGTTCGCATTAAATTGAAATCGGCCGACTGAATTAATTCGATCGATTCGAGTGGATTCCAACCAACGCTTGTCGCGTCGATAACGGCGGAAAAACGAGCTCGTCGAACGTAAAAGGCTCTCGTTAATGAACGTTCACGGGGAACGCAATAAAACGCGGGGATATTTGATGAAAAGGAACGAGAGAGAAAGAGAGAGAGAGAGAAAAAAGAAGGAATAAGGAAGAAAAGAGGAAGAAAAGAGGAAGAAAAGAGGAAGAAAAGAGAGGGATGATTTTTGGGAAGAGGAGATAAAAGTATTATCTCGCGTCGAGACGTAAAAAGACGTAGATTCTTTTTTCGAGTCGTATTCGAGAAGAAAATCGCGAAAACAAGCACAATACGGAGGCGATATTTTGCCACGAAATTCCGAGCGTTCGGTCGGTTGTATGCAACTTCCGGCCGCCTCGTTCGTCCGTTTCCTATTTACTTTTACAATAGCTGGCGGCTAGCGCGTGTTTTATCGCGACGGGTATCCGTCGTCGTGCGCGACATTCCGATCGGCCGATACCATATCGAACGAAAATTCTTCTGAATAATTCACCGTCCGTATCAGGATTCCTCGTCCTCGCCACGCCGCTCGATTGTCTCCCCGTAAATGCATCGAATCGAGGCGAATCGAGGCAGGATTCCGTGAAACGAAAAGAAAAAGAACGAGGAAAGAAACGTATATATATATAGAGAGAGCGAGAGAGAGAGGGAAGGGGAGGAAAGAGAAGAGAAGAGAGCCGAGATTCAACCGCGGTCGATGTGATTTATTTTCCAGCTAGACTGTACCTCTCCCTCGCCCTCCCAGCCCTCACTTTGCCACTATGGTGCACGAGGTAATGAAGTGGCAACACGGCGTTTCCAGGGGTCGAGAACGGGGGTGAGATTGATACCTCCAGTCACGTCGAGCGGCGAGGAGGGGATGAGGTGTCGAGAAACCGGATCGACGACGTAGGGGAGCGAAGTGGAAGGAGGGGGAAACTGGTGGCAGGAAGAGGTAGAGCCGTCGGGGGGCGAGGAGAGAAGGAGAGAGAGAGAGAGAGAGAGGAGACGCGAGAAAGGAGGGCTGAAGGTGGTATGAACGTCGAGGCGAGGCAAGGCAAGGGTGGGGCTAGAGGTGGATCGCGAGAAAGGCTCGAGGGTGGCTTTGCTCTCGTCTCGAGGGTTGAAAACGTTTCGCTCGGTTAGATACCGCCGTATCTTACCGTGGCTGCCACGACTTCCGCGCACTAATTAAAGAAATTAGGGAAGGAGAGATAAATTTTTGCACCCCTTTTGGATCTCGACGCGCGGCCCGCACCAAGGAGACACTGTGGAGACAGAGACGTGGAAAGAGAGACGGCTTCTTCTTTTATTACCGTTAACCTAATTGAAACGAGTGGCGCCGCGAGAAAGGGAGCCGAATCGGTTCCAAGATCCAATCGCGACCGGAATGCACGAAGAGGTCTTCTCCTTCTCTCGTGTTTTTATCCGTTTCATCTTTGCCCCTCCTCTTTTTTCTTATTTCTCGTTTTTTTTTTCAACATTTTTCTCCCCTCTCTTCCTCTTTCTTCTCGATATTTCCTCTTTTTTCTTTTCTTTTTTTTTTTTTAGCCCCCTCCCCTTCGCCCATCTCGATCCTCTCCTTTTCATTTCGACGACGATCTCCAATTATGACGAACGTCGAGGATATAATTAGTCGTAATGAACCGGTTTTCGTGCTAATTGCCCCGTGTTATCTATCCTTGGAAAAGGGTCGAAAGAGCGTAAAGAGCGTAAAGAGACGATAAAGAATCGTCTGGATCGGATCCGTGATCACGAGAGATCACGGGATTTCTGTTCCGTGCAAAACGCGTCGATGCCTGGTCGGACTGTACACGGATCTACACAGATTTAAGATACCTAATTAGTTTATCTGGGAATAATCTTGTACAGTTAACGCGGCGCCAACAGAGACGAAGAGGGGAAAGATAGGGCGAGAGAGGAACGAGAACCACCCTCTCGTCTAACTAAATTCTAATTAAGCGAACCTCCTCTGGAGAAACTGCTCGCCCCTTTCTCTCTTGTACACGCCTTTGCTTACGTGTTATGTCTGCCAAGTATATCCGCTATCTACAGTCTACGATGTAATCCATGCGCCGGGTATAAACTGAATAACAGATGAAGGAACTTGTACCTAATCGTTGGGAGGAAAAGTTTCTCAATTATAGGAACGACGAGATTTATTCTACCTTGGCCGAGGCAGGGGGGGTGGGTTCAAATATGCATGCCGGCAAGCAAACTATTAGGCGTTTTAACTCTTTGAAAAGTTCTTTTCGAGAACGCTTATAAGCCTTTGGGGGATGCTACGGTCGATAAGATCTTCTTTTCGAACGAATATTTTTCCCTACGTACAAACTACAAACTTTTTCACCCAACTTTACGTAGTTACGTATTTTTCAAACAATTTCTTCTCGAGAAGGGAGAAATAAAAATATTCTTAATAAAAAACGTGATTATTTTTATTATTTTTCATTTACAAAAATTTCGGTTAAAAAACGGTTATTACGTTATCCGTTTTGTAATAACAATTTTATTTTCGCGAATAAGAGGAAAACGAAGATCGTGATTTTTATCGAAATTCTGGTGTTCCTTTTTATATATAACGCAAACAAAAACGTGTAATATAAAAAAAAACCCAAGCCAAGGGAAGCGAGAGGAAAAAAGAAATTTTTGTAAAAAATTCAAAATTAACGCAAAGTCCAAAATTAACGTCGAATGAAAAAGTTTGCGTAATAAACGACGAGACACGAATCAACGATTTATTTTAAAAACAATTAAAGAAATTCCTTACATTTCCCTACAGACAAGACGTATTTTCGCGGCGAGTTGTTCGTTACTCTATCTATCTGTCTCTCTCTCTCTCTCTCTCTCTTTTTTTTTATTAATATTTCAAGCACATCAGCCGACATCGCTGAGCCGCATTTAGGCGGGAGTGCTCGAACTTGACGAGTTCGAAGCTTGAAAACTTGTGGAGGGTTGGGAGTCGAGGGCGGAAGCGCGGACGAGAGGGGGGGCCACGGCCGCAAATGAATTTTTTCCGAGCAAACGAATCCTCGAGTGCACTCGACGCGGCTGCCTACACATAATGCCAAGCACCCTTCCGCTCTGAAGAGGATGTTAAAGGACTCTAGAACGTGACAATGGCAGCCGCGGTGATTCGCAGTAGCGGCAATCATTGCTTCCTAACGTGTATCGCATCGAGTGGCTGCGATCCGCTCGAAACCGTATCGGTTCTGCGTTTTTTCGTTTCCTTCCTACGCTTCCCCTCCCTCCCTTTAATTCTCATTCTCGATTTTTGATTTATAATGAACGGGGGAAATTTATTCACGTTTATTAAAAAAAAAAATATCGATAATAAGAGTAAATGCGAAATGAAATAATCGCAATATTGCAAATATTGATAGAAATAATCATTAAGCGGTTTGATTAAAGCATGTTTTTGAAAAAAATAAAAAAAAAATAGTATTTAAGATTCATCGATTTGATTTTGAAATTTATCTGGTTTCTTGCGCATAAAATTTAATACCATTTTACTATTTTTATATTTCAAATCATAATTTACTGTGAAACAAGAAATGAAATATGAAAGGGAATTTTTGTTAATATTTAATTAGAAATTTTATGTGCAAGAAAAGATTTAATAAAAATATTCATAGGTATAAGAAATATCTATCTTTATATTCTTTACGAGTCATTATGTTCTATATGTTACAACCAGTCATCTAAATCGATTCGGCTTTTCCATCTTATATCATTGAATGACTGGAAGAATAAAAACATATGTATGACTCACCATTAGGTGCCAAGGACATCATCATGCTGCTATGGTCTAGAAGAAATCAAGATGTAATCGCAGAAGAGACTGGAAAATATTTATAACAAAACATGGAACATTATAATTTAACAATATTAAATTAAAATTTCTTTTTTAAATTTGAAATTCTATTAATAATAATAAAAATTATAACTCTAATATAAAAACTTAAATATAAAAAATTGAAAATCTAATAATTTTGATATAAGAATAACTAAAAAATAGCATACTAGCGTAAAAGATAATTACCTTTTCGAACAGATGATCGCTTGATTTTCTTGAAACACTGATTCTAATATATACCGAAAACAAATATTTAAGAAAAAATAAAAAACTATCGACACAATTGTTATATCTAATCGACGAATACTGACTCGAATTTTACGAAAAACATGTAATTAATTTTAACTAGAACAATTATACACTAAAAACGTTAAAAATACTGTTACGAAGCAAACACTGACTCTATTAATCGCATTGCACGCGATCACAAAAATTTTTAAAAGTAAATTATCTGATTGACCGTTGTAGCGTCCATATTCAAAAGTTATTTTATTAAATAGCTATTAATTTCCACAAAAAGTAATCAAATAAATATATAAAATATATTTAAATATACATAAAATTAAAACCGAATGTGTTAAAACAAAAAATAATTACGCAAAAATTTCATTTTAGAAATTCATGATACGAACTACCAACAATTCTAACCTAAAATAACCTAAAATAAATCAATGAAAAAAAATTATAATATATTATAATATATTCGACTAATTATTGAATAAACGCGTATTAATTAAATAATAATATATAAAAAAAAAGTACAAAAATATCTATAAATGAAAATAACGTAATACGCAATAAGTTACTACTCGTATACCGAAAGCAGTCCGTACGCCACGACTTCCAACGATAAAGTGACGCCTCGCACGATTTCACCTTAGCAATTACAAATTCAAAACAAAATTTATCGACGATACAATCGTAACACGTCGAATGTATATAAACACGAATTTCCAATTTCTTAGTAAGAATTATTCTAAGAAATATTATCAGACTCGAGTGTGTCATCAAAACAAATACAGAATACGTTCGAAACATTCGAATAGAACAAACGCAATAGAAAATACGTGTAGTAATATATTTAAAATAAAAGATTATAAAAATCTATTCTTTTCCGTATATAATTATCACCGAATTTATAATTACATTTTTTTATTATTTTATTTATTTATAAAATAAATAAAATCTTACGATATTTTTACGAAAATTATAAATTATCTTTTAATTATCATGCATAATATGCATAACCATGCATAACCTATTACATCTTCGAAGTCATTCGAACGATCAAACGATAATTTGTACAAATAAAAATTAAAACCGTAAAACAAATGTATAAAATTAAAAAAATATTAAAATAAAATAGCAATTGAATTAAATTTGGACACACAACTTATATATAAATTACCTGTAGCTATATACATCAAATTGAAGAGCAACGTGAAACGTAAAAGAGTTTAAAAACTATTTAATTTTGGTATATTTCTACTTAATAAATGATTAAACACACACACATTAATAAAATAATTGCACTGGAAATATATAAATTATATTTTAATATCAATTTCATGTAATTATGCACGTATATTTCGGCGTAACGTACTTCACCGCGATTTTCGACAATAGACTGACGCCATATTTGCTATTCGTCTATCGCTAGACTCTAGCGACGTTCTAATTGGTTAACAATATGGTTAAAACAATATGGTTTCTTATTGATTTAAACCGCGCGAAAATTAAAGTGTTATATAACACTTCAATTAGAATCCTTATAATATTAAAATGCTATAAACAATTATTATTCAATTTGCGTAATATATAATTATATATTATATATATATAATATATATTATATATTATATTATATATATATATTATATATATAATTATATATAATGTATAATTAATTGTAAAAAAAATATATGTTCTTTCTTTACAGCAATTGGCTTTTTTATAAAATTATAAACATTTACTATGAAGGATAAATTATTCAATCGAAATTGAAAGAAGTCTACAGCAACTCTTAATGCGAGAAGTCATTTTGAAGACACATTACAAGTTTGAGATTAAACGCAATAAAGAAACGGAACTTCCTTCCTCTCTTGATCTTTCTTTCCATCGAATTTGCGGTTTTCACCAAGAATTTACCCAAGAACCGTCTCGAAATTTCTTTCCCCGTTTATTTCCTTATTCCGTAACGTTTCGTTTCATTTTCCTTGTGATTTTAATCGACACGGGATTCGATGTAACGAACCGGTAAGACGCGATAAAATGCATCGGCAAATTTCTCGTAGAAACCGTGTGGCGCGACGGCAACTCACGTATTTGAGGAGGAAAATTAAAAACAAACAACGTAGGCAACACGGGTTTGTGTGTACTTGCACATCAATTTCGAGCTGATTCGGCCGCGCACTGCGCAATAACTCTCCGGGTAGATACAAATTGCTATCGAACGCGTATCAGTTCGCCGCCCTCGATCATTTGACTAACAATAAACCACCGGCACGAAGTGTCCGCGATATTTGATCTTTTTCTCGCGCGCCGTTCAAACCAACGCGAAATAAATAACAGCTGTTTTGTTGCCAAACCGACGCAATATTCCGATCTTATCAAAAATTATCGAATTTAAACAAAAATAAATATAAAAAAAAAATATCAAGAAATAAACGATATTTGGTGGGAAAAACAGGGGTTTCTTTATTTATAAACTTTATTTATAGATTTTTTATCAATAATTCTGTACATGTAACATGTACATAAAATGTGAAAGAAATAGTCAAAATTATTATTTCCTGATTCACGATTGAATTTTCTTTTTTTTTGTATAATATAATTATGAAATTCGAGAATAAATTAATAATAGAAAATGTTTTTTTGTGATATATTGGTATATTTTTAAAATATAAATTTAATAAATTCTTAATTTTTTAAATGAATTTTTTAATAAACATTATTAATGCTAAATTATAATATTGAAAATATTAAATGTTGAAAAAAGTAAGGATAATAAGAGAATATAAGGTAAAATCTCTTTTCAACCCATTCGAACCGTTCATGCATTAATTATTATCCTATGTCTACTGTAACATCATTATCTACCCATATTAGAATTAACATTTCCAAATTAAAATTATTTTTTGATAGAGAAGAAAGTGATAATATATCTAAAATCTTGTTCTGTTTTTAAAACAATTTTTATAATAAAATATTTAAATCAAGGCAAGATTTATATATAAAAATTTAAAAATATAAAAAACTTTTATATCAAAAATATTTGTATTTTATATATCATACTATTATTAATTAAATTGCATTGCATAACAATAACAACTTCGCTAATAAAGTAAAAAATTTTGCAAGAAAATTTACAAAACATTAAGTAATGTGATCATAAAATTATCAAAGAAGAAATCTATTTAATCTATAACACGTTAATTCACAAATATTAATTGGTAAATTATTATGCAATAGAGTTTCAAGTATTATCACTATCTCCTCTAATATTCTCACCACAGCAACGCATACATAACCTATATTACAATTCTACCGCAAAACACATATAAGCTTTGTGCCTTTCTCACTTAAAAGACTGTTAAACGTCAACGAATTGGAAGTGCGCGAGAATTATCGCCTCTTCGTCGGTCTCGGGATGTCTTTACGAATTCCGTGGATTCTGACGCGCGTAACGCGTGCCGCGTAGTTCAACGATTTTCGCATATTACTCGTCGCTCGAAATCCATTGAATTTCGACGAACCGCAAAAATCCCGAGCTCCCCAAGTCGAATCTAACCCCATCCCGAGAATAGATTCCCCACATCGTTCATTCGTATACACAATACTCTGATGTCAACCAGTGATCTGGCGAGCGACAAAAACGATCGTTCGATTTCATCGAGTGTTGCAAACATGAAAAGATCGATAAGCTTGAAAACTTCCATAACCTCCTGGAGATCAATTTCACGCCATACCACACGAATCTTTGCCTCGATCGCTTTTCATTCTCTCTCTTCTTTGCCTTCTTTTTGTCTATCAATCTCCTCTTTGTTTGCGGTACATTGCACTACACTTTCAAGGTTCACTGAATTTCACGGGGAATTGAAATATTCATATACGCGGGTTTGAATTCGCGAATCTTCGACGAAGATTCGTCAAGAGTGCACAAGCGCCCTCTAAAACGGTCGACCACGCGCATACACGTGTGCGCAGCTACGAGATAAAGGCATGCATATGCAACCCCGGTCTATACCACGGTTATACGTGTCGGTCGGATTTGCATATTATTTCGAAATCCGTGAATACGGGACATGGCAGTGATTTTCATTCCCTTATGGCCCTCTCGCGGATTCGTTGCTTGTGTAGATACCATATACGAGGATCCTGACTCGAGGAAACTGTTAATGAGAACGGAACCGAACGTAGAAATTCCATACCTTCACTGAATCTTTGAGAGATGCCAGAAAAGGATGCCGCGTTCTACGAAGCCATTGGATGACATAAATAATTCGACGGTTACTTAACACTTTATTAGCGAAAGTTGCGCATGCGTACAACGTATTATACAACGTGTATTTTTTGCAAAATGTGGTTGATGTAGAAATTTATATATATATATATATATATATATATATATATACTAGTGAGATTATAGCATTCCTTTTTTTATATTGTATTGATGATATATACAATAATAATTTGTGACGTTAATAACTTTATTTTTGAAAAATCGAGTTTTATAATATATTTAATATTATAAGTATAAAATAAAATAAAACAAGAAAGATATTTTGAAGGAGTTTTTATAATAACAAATAATTATAATAACAAGTATCGTTATTATAATTATTTACTAAAAATTTTATATTTGAAATTTTATATTTGAATAGTATACATATAATTTATTCAAATTTATTAATTTTATAATGTTAAAAATATTCAAAAATTATAACAATAAAAGAGTAATTATATTTTTAAACTGTCCTTTTTATTAATTTTGTTGCAATTTGTTGTAATAAACAATTTTAACTAAAATATGTCTATCATTCTTTCAAAAGGATGATTGCAATTTTAGTTCGAAATTTCTGGTAATATTGTTTATACATTGTATTGTTCAAATTGAAAACACTGTTTATAATATTTTGAACGTTGTTAATTATTCGAAATATCGTATATTGTATAATACTTTGTACAGTGCTTGTAAGAACTTCTATTCCTTGTAAAACAATGAAGTTATAAACATTATAATTATAGAAGCATGAATTATTTAACATAAATTTTTTATTTTTACATCCTTTTACAAATCTTTATGTTTTGAAAAATTGATACTATACCGAATGCAATATCCACCTCCTTGAATTACCGTGCTAGGTAGCGCATTACGCAAGCAAGACCGAGCAAATAACGAGCCTTACGATCAAGCGATCGGATAAGGGGCAAGCGAGAATTCGAGGCGGGCATTTTAATCATCGCTATAAACGATGTAACGCCTGCGAATTACACGTTTCGCTTTGCAATACGGGGAAACGCGTTTCGCGCTCAAAATTACGGACACGCTTGGACGAAAATGAATTCACCCGCGTTACGTAACGATCGACGATTGAATGAGTACCTTGTACTTTCACACGCGCGCTTGTCATTATCGTTCCTGCAAATATTAACTTCTGTCTCTCTCTCTCTCTCTTTCTCCCTTTTTCTTTTCGTTTTGTCTCGATAACGTTTACCAGCCGTATTACAGTCTTAAATAAGCGAGATTAGAGGCGAACACTCGGCTATTCCCATTTGGAAAAGTATCGTAAAAAGGAAGGAAAAAAGAAAGAAAGAAAATATCGGTAAAGATCGTGTTGGTTTACGATCTGGATACACGGAATTTCGCCTATTTCGTCGCGGTTCTAATAAACAGACTTGATTGCGTGTAACCCCATATAGAGTGTATAGCGATAAAAATCGTACAACGGCGAACGAAATGATTTTTTTTTCGCGTGAAAAAATAAATTGGAAATGC